CTGTAGCACTCTGAAAAGCTGAGATGTATTCCATCCTAGCCTAGGGAATGCAGTAATTTACAAAGACCCTGTCTCAAAAAAATTTTTTTAAAGAAGAGTAGGGTATAGGGCATAGCTTAGTCTGAATGCCCTGGGTTCAATCTCCAGCACCACAATAACAACAACAACAACAATAATAATGCAGCTATGCATATCACTTATTACCGTTGATACACTGTGTCAACGTGGGAAGTGTAGAAGTTTAACCAAGAGACTCAGCAGGGAGCCAGGGTGCTTACTGGTAAATATCTTCATGCTGTACCAGAGGAGGACAAGGAGATTTTGTCAGTGCTACACCCCCGGGGAATGGGGTGTGGGGAAGGGAGGAAAAGAAGCTTGCTGTTCCCTGCTTTTGTTCTGGCTGCTTTTGCTGGCTGTTGCCTTGTGGTGTTGCCCAGTGCCAGGCTACCCTGCCTTGGAGCCAGCTGACTATGGACTGAAACTGCCACAAACAGTGAGCTAAAACCCTTTCTTCATTTCTGATTGTGGGGTACTTTGTCGTGGCAACAAGAGAAAAGTAACCAAGGCTCCACCATACATATCTTTAGTGCATATATGTATTTCTTAGGAAGTATACTTTGGAATGGAATTTCAAGGTCATAAGATATGTGTAAATTCAGATTTAATAAATTATGACCTTTTTCAAAGCACAAATGCTGTTCCACTTAGGAGAGGGTTGCTTTTGTAAAGTAGAATACATACATTAAACCCAGTGTAACTTGAAAATACTGCAAGTCCAAAATGCATTTAGTGCACTTTTTGAACATGGTAGCTCAGCAACACAGTAAACCGCAGCTGTTTAGCTGACTGTGCACTGCAGCTCCCTGCTCCTCCCTGAACTGTAAGTTGTGTGGACTGGGGAAGGTCACAGTTCATACTTCCGCCTGCTACTGACTATGTACCACTTTCACGCCCTCATAAAATTTAGAAATTGTAAGCTGGGTCATCACAACTTAAGAGACCCTATGTAAATGGATCAACTGATTCTTCTATCTGTGGCTTCAGAGAATTCTCGTTGCTCTCCACATCCTCCATTGCTTGGTGCTCCCTGAATTTTTTTATTTCATTTGAGTGGATATGTAGTAACATTATACTATGGTTTTCTTTTGTGTGGTTTGTGGAGCTGGGGATTGAAGCCCAAGCCTTTGCACTTAACTATATTTCTGATTGACCATATATCTTAACTATTTCGTGTATAGATGTATTTTTTCCTTTCTTCCTTTCTCCTTCACCCAATTACAGTTTGTCTTTTATTTTGAACAGCTTTTCCCCAATTCACAATTTCTATTGTACATTTAGTATCAACTGAGGAATGGATGAAAAAGAAGTGATTTTTTATGATGGAATACTACTCAGCCATAAATAAGGATAAACTAGAGACTTTTACAGGTAAATGTATGCAACTCAAGACCATACTCATAAGTGAAATAAATCAGACCCATATGTGTAAACATTGTATTGTCTCACTAGTGTAAAAAACTGAATGAGTAAATAAGATTCAAAATGTACAACAGACATTGTGAATTGGGAATTTTTTTTTTTTTAATTTTGAGACAAGGTCTCTCAGTTGCTAAGTCCAGGCTGGGTTCATATTTGCAAGCCCCTGCCTCATCCTCTCAGAGTTCTGGGATTACAGGCATGTGCCACCGTGCCAGGCTACATTATTTAATATTTTAATTTGCTTTCTCCTGATTAGCAGTGCTAGTCAAGGCTCAGTAAGTCCACTGTAGCCTGCCTTTCCCACTGATAGCAATAAAAAAAATTCAGGGTATCCCATTGTATCAGTCAAGGTTTACTAGAGAAACAGACATAACACAAGCTATACTAAGGTATAAGAATTTACAAGAATGGCTTACAATGTTCAGCCACAAAGTCAGATGAGGGAGTGTGAAGAGGGCATCTGCACTCTGGAGGCTGAAGGGGTCAGCCCATGGGCTGCAACTTACTGCAGTGTCCCATGCAAGCCCGTATCAGGAGTCCGAGGGGTTGCAACAGAACGCTGAACAATCTACAACGAAGTCTGAAGAGTCCAAGGCAGAAGCCAAACGGTCTGCGCCAGAAGCCAGGAGATGTCCTTCAAGCTGCAGACTAAGACTGAAGCTCCTGTGAAGGACGGTCCTCAATTCCCCCTCCTTTGCCTTTATTATATTATTTCCCCTGGGGTAGGTGTAGCACTTACGCTATCTCCCTCCCTCCCCTCCTCTTGCACAGGCCCAGGATGTTTACAAAGTAAGTCCTCTGGCTCCCTGCTGAGTCACTTAAACTTCCTACCTCCTCAGGTTGATACAATGAACAACATCGTAAAACACAAAGCCTTGTTCTCTGGAGCCCCAGGATGTAGGGGAGCTGAATCCCTTAATCTCTTAGAATTCTCAAGGTGACACAATGTACAAACATAACACAAGTGAAACTATTATCTTAGCTCTTTGAGACATAAAAAAAGCATGCAAACTGGGACAAGGAATAAAAATTTACCAGAAAGGACCTGTATCTGTTTTCTTGTCTTCTCTCACAGCTCTGCCTAGAGACCTACCCTCTTATCAATTTGCGGTAGCAGCAATGACAGGAGTAACTAAGAAATCCTGGGCCAGTAGTTCAATGGTAAGCACCTGCCTGGCAAGCATAAGGCCCTGAGTTTGATTCCCAGTACCAAACAAAATTTTAAAAAGAAGTAATTTTTTTCCCAGCTAGATGACTGGACATATGAGGCATCTACGAACTAGAAATTTGTATGGAAATATTAAATCATTTTGTTTGCTTGTTTTTGGTTCAATTTTGACTTTTTAAGTTTACTGGTACCATTTAGATATACACAATGATTATATTCTTCAGAAAGTTTGCACTTATACATGATATATCTGGAGTCCTCTTTTTATCTGTTCCCCTACTGTCCCTTTAAACCTTCTTCTCATTTACAAAGCTTTGTTTCCACTGTATTCTTTTCTCGTTTTTTTTTTCTTTTTCCCATCCTTCCTTTCCCTCTGTATTTTAGAATATCTATTATATTTTGGTTCTTATTTAACTTAAAGAGAAACAATGTGGTATTTACACATCTGTCCAATTTATTTCACTTCAGAGTATGGTCGCAAGGTCTATCCATTCAGCTACAAATGTCTCAAGTTTCTTTTTTATGGCTGAGTAGTACTTCATTGTATTTTTAAAAATCTTTTGGGGCTGGGGATTTAGCTCAGCGGCATAAGCACCTGCCTTTCACGCAGGCGGTCATGAGTTCGATCCCTGGTGCCGATAAAAAAAGAAAAAGACAAAAAAATGTTTAAAAAATCTTTTTTTATACATTCAGCAGCTGATGGGCATTTGGGTTGTGTCCAAGATTTTCAATCTGGACTCTGACTCCAAGGGGGTTTAGGTCTTGCTTTGGACACATACCACACACAAGAGAAAATGTCTTTGTAGACAAAGAAACAGGCAAGAAAGGATTCTATAGTTTTAAGTGTGTGGTGGGAATCTGCACTATTTTCTCCCTTGTCTCTCACTACCTTGCCCAGCTAAAGCCACAGGCAACAGTTGTTGCTAAGGCAGCTAAAACTCCAAGATAAACCACGTATTTCTGGCAAGAAGATGAGGAAATGAGGACTTCATCAAAAAGAGCTGGAAATGTGGACCTTATCCAAATGTCAAGCTCACACATGTGTAGGGCGGACAGAAGACTAAATAAAGCTAAACAGAAAAAAGATCTGTGAACTATGATTTAAATTGCTGCCAAAGCACCAAATAATCCCTGTATGTGTAGTAGAGACTTAAAATAGCACAGCAAAGGCTTTGAGACAAGTGGTATAAAAATCAGCAGTCAGTGGAGAGATTGAACCTGTCATCCGATTCAAAACTGGACCGACTGCCTTCTAATGCACAAAAACAACAAAATCAACATCCCCAATGGATTTTAACAAGGCCCAGGTTTACACAATATTGTTCAATGTCCAGGATAACCAATGATTACATAATATAATCAACAGCTGCCAACCCCTAAATAAGATGTTAGAATTACCAAAAATATTAAAGCAAATATTAAAACTAAAGATATTAAAAATACTTGCATTCAGATGCCAGAATTTTTTTTTTTTTGGTCCTTTTCCTTTTCATGGGTACTAGGGATCGAACTCACGACTCCCTGCTTGCAAGGCAGGCGCTTATGCCGCTGAGCTAAATCTCCAGCCCCCAGATGCCAGAATTCTTAAAAACGCAACGGCAAAACCTGAGACAGGAAGGGATAAATTATCACAAGAGAAGAATTACAAATATATAGAAACAAAATACACGCACTACAGGTATATGCAACTACATAGGATGAATTTAGAAGCATAAAGACAAGTGTAAAAAAGTGAACTATGCTTAGCTAAACAGTTTACCAAACTAAACATCATGTACACAAACCAGGTTTGTTTCAAAAGAGAACACAAAATAACGGATAATGTTATACCGGGAGGAAAGCAGTGGGATAAGGGCAGAAAAGACACAAGTGGTTTTATCAACACCCTGGTTATTCAATTATTGGCTTTGTGTACCCTTTTATATCGCACTTTTTTATGTATAAAAATAGGTTTTTACATGACACCCCACATACACAATGAAGAAACAAGGATTTTCCCTTTACTAAAATAATTTCTCCAAAATCGTGAACACCCCACGTCCCAAACATAAACTAGGTAGCTGGCCTTTCCACGACCCCGACCTCAACACAGTTACGCGTCACTTCCGCCTCCACTTCCCTAGGCCCGCCCATGTAAGCGGAAGTGTTTTTTCTTTTGGGTCCTCCCGCCTGTAGGGGGCTCTCTGAAGCTTCTAGTGCCACGGAGGCCTCCTGCGTGGACTGTCCTGGGCATGCCTGTTAGTTTAGGTATTTTTAAAAGGTTGTTGTACGATAACTTTTCGCCAGAGAAAACAGGCGCACAGGCACCTTAGTCTGTAAAAAAGCGTTCAAACGCAACCCCGGCCTGACGCCGTCCTTTTCTAGTCTTCCGCAGTGTCGGGCTGGAGTCAGGCAGTGCGCGAACAGCCCGAGAGCCCGAAAGACCCGGCCCGCGTTCTCCTGCGAAGACGTAGCTGCGGGCGGCGGTGGCGGTGGAGGCGATCAAGATGTCGACCAAGAATTTCCGAGTCAGTGACGGGGACTGGATTTGCCCTGACAAGAAGTGAGTTCCTGAAGGGTCCCGGGTTGGGGCTGGGTTTGTCAGGAGGCTTGTGTGATCTGTTGGGATTTCCCATGTTTGCGAGTTCCTCGCGCTTCTTCAGCCTGGGAGGCGGCGATGAAGCGGCAGCTGGGGCGGGAAGAGGGCGACGGCTCTCGTCGCAGCCAGGCGTTTGGGAGGTCATGGGGCTTCGCAGTGTTTGTGGCCTGCGTTTCCTTGGCGGCCTGTGTCCGCGGTGGCCTGGTCTTGTGGCGTGCGGACCCCCAGCCCCCGAGAATCTGAGCGCAGAGGAAAGGAGAGGAGGGGAGAGGAGGGCAGAGCGCTCCGGACTCCCACGTGACTTTCCCCGCGGAACTTTGTCCTTCTGCCCTGGTAGCGTCGCTTTCTCCATCCACATCATCTCCTTGCTTCCTGTGGCTCTTGTTTGTAATACGGAGCCGACTGGTCGGTCTCACAGGGTTCGTCCCATCTTTCAATCTGGGAGATTCTGATTTTTCTTAATGGGCCTTTAATTTCCCTACATGAATTCAGCTTTGTGCCCCGCAGGTGCCCAGGCACGTGTGTGACTCTGCTTTCTGTCGTTGTCGCTAAACGCAGTGTGTTCCAAATTAAGTTGTCACGTTGTCCTGAAGAGTGCATCAGTAGAGGTGTTCGCACTTGGACACATCAAAGAAATACAGTGTACGACGCTTGTTCACATCAAAGTGTTGTTATTCCTTGTCACTAAGCTAGGCAGTTCAAGATAGCAAAAGAAAAACCGTGTGGGACAAATGTTTTCGTTTCGGTTGTGTTGTGGGCCGTTTAACTCAAAGGAAGGTACTGAATTTCGTTTTAAAAATAGGAACAGAATCACTCCACTGTAATGAACACAAGTAACACGTGTGTTGAGCAGTAACATAAATAAGGCACGTACGCACTGTGATGTAAGTGGGAGTTCAGTATTAAGAAAACGTGTGGAAACTCAAGTCTTAGCTCATAATGGTTACATGGAACAACCAAAGTTACGTTAGGAATGCCATCAGCTTGATAATACAGTATCAAAAGCCGTCAGAAGATTTAGAATAACTTCTGGCTTGCACTTTTTAGTCACCTGAAAAATGGTGTGCTATTTTCTGTCTTTAATGACAGTGCACCTGGACATTGAGGTAGACATCTTAAGCGTAAAATGCATTTAAACTCATTTTAAAAATAAAATATATATAAATCCAGGGGACATGTTCAGAGTGTATTTTCAGTACTAGAGTCTAATGCTTTTTTTAGGAAGAAAAATAACCTAGAAGTTTTTCAGTTTGTCATTTGATTCTTGACAGGTGTATTTCTACTGTAACATGTTGGTCTTTTTTTGTTAAACGTAAGCATTGTATGTCATTGACCGCATTTAACCTGCTTTTGCTGATAACAGGTTATACATTAGTAAGGTAATGGTAATGAATTTTAGTTCTGTTAATTGCAAGCATAAAGTTACATTCTAACTCCTGCCTTGAGGATACCGGCTGTGGTTTTGTCCTACAGGTTTCAGGTTTGACAGACATTTTATAAAACTCAATTATTTATTATTGAATCTGCATTTTTAGTTAGTATAACTTAACCTTTCGTCTTACCATTCCACGTTCTATCTGTCAAAAGAACATTTCATCAAGTTCTGTGAAGCGGTGTTTCCTTTATCAACTTTGTCCCCATTCGGTTCAGCACTAGGATTTTGTATTATAAAACTTAACACGTTTTTGTATTTATCTTACTCTTGTTGGTATTGGCATTAGTTTAGAATGTGTTTTTTAACTCCCTGGTTCCTTGTCAAGAATTGTTGAGAGTCAAATCTCATTTTCACTGGGTAAAGAAGGCTTCATTCTAATTAAAGATCGGTGGTTCTGTGAGGATACCAAAGCACAGAGGTAATGAATATAACTAGGTAATGAATATAACCAGGTGATATAACTAGAAAGGGAAAATCAGAGTTCTGGGTTTTGACTCCAGATCAGTTTTTTCCACTAACTTTCTGAATCATATATTTTGGTGGGGTTTTTTTTGTTTTGTTTTGTTTCATCTTCTAGTGAATTGTAAAGTTTTTTTATAGTTAATGCTAACATTAACGTGATTCAGATGAGTTTGTTTCAGGATTCTAAATGTGAAGTGTGAATACATAAAAACTCAACCGTTTTATTAATTTAAGTGACATTTCTAAAAGCTTTTCATTTTTTCAGATGTGGAAATGTAAACTTCGCGAGAAGAACCAGCTGTAATCGATGTGGTCGGGGTAAGTATTTAAGGAAGGTTGTATTAATCTTGTACAAGACATTTATTTTCCCTGGATTCATACGGCATTTTTTTATTTTCAGAGAAAACAACTGAGGCCAAGATGATGAAAGCTGGGGGCACTGAAATAGGAAAAACTTTGGCAGAAAAGAGCCGAGGCCTATTTAGTGCTAATGACTGGCAGTGTAAAACGTATGTGTTCCTATTATTGTCCACTCTTCATTCAGATTATGATGTAACCAGTCAAGGCTTATTAATTTTCTGTTATTAGAGGCCTTTTAGTTGTGAAGTCTATTTTCCATTTTAAGTGTAGTGGAAAGAAATTTTAGGTATTCTTTTTGTGTTTTAAAACTTAAATACTTGTTACTATAATGGACTGTATATCAATAAAGAATTAAGATGAGGTAATTAGGGTATGATATATTAAAAGTTTTAACTTCCTCAGGAGAAAACTCTAAAATGTAAATTTCTATTGTTAATGTGACATGCATCATAAAATTCATGTTATTTAAAGAATAATTTTAGAATTGTAAGTTGCCTAGCATAAAAAATTATTCCTAGGGGCTGGGGATTTAGCTCAGCGGCAGGCAGTCGTGAGTTCAATCCCTGGTACCGATAAAAAGGAAAAAGACAAAAAAAAAATTATTCCTAAATAGATTTTTTAATATTTAGTTTCAATTATGGACTTAGTTCTGTGTTGATCCCCCCCTCAACTTTTCTGCCATGTGAATAAATCCTACATATACAAAACAGGACTGAATCAGAAAAGGATCTTACAGAAATTTTCAGTCCTGTGAATTTTAAATTTGTAGTGGGAAATTTTCTTGCAGCATATTAAGTCACCAGATACGGTATGCTGTGAAATTTAATGCTTATGACTCCAGGATAGAGGGGCTACTTAACTTGGAAGGTTATGACCCTACTCTTCTTTGACGTGCATTTGGAGACTAAAGAATTACAGGCACTTAAATTGAAGTTACAATTTGTCTTCTTCAAAATCATGATGGTACATTTCGTATTGTATAGATTTTATTCTCTGCCTAAATCATCTGATTCATCATTGGGACCCACATTTCCTGGACCAGTATATGTTTTCTTGATTTATATTATCTCTTAGTGAACATCGCTTTTGATAGTGATTTCATTCTAATTTTTATTTTGAAATTCAGAATATCTAACAATTTGACATTGTAATATTGTATTATAAGCTTCTGATACAGTATTTTTTGTTTTTATAGTTGCAGTAATGTGAATTGGGCCAGAAGATCAGAGTGTAACATGTGTAACACTCCAAAGTATGCTAAATTAGAAGAAAGAACAGGTATAACAACAGTGACATTTTTAACTAAATGATTGAGTTAAGCATTGATAGTACCTTCTCAGAGAGTTGCAGTACTAATTGAGGATGCTGTTTGTTCTGCCCTTATAATTTCACTTGAGAAATCTGTGCCCATATGTTTTGTTTTGTTTGCTTTAAGCGTAAGAAAGACCTTTGGTCATCTATTTAGCTGGGAACATGGGTAAGGGAATGGAAGGGTAGGAGGACTTCCGCGGCCAGGGGTTGTGAGGCAGGGTTCCAGCCTCGCCACGCCCTTCTTCCAGCAGGTGATGCAGCCCCACCTGCAGATGGCTGTGTGAGCAGCGTCCAGGTCCTGCTCGTGGGGACCCTATGGGGCACTCCTATATGTATTTTTAAAACTTTCATTTTATAATTTTAGTGTGTAAGTTACAGGTAGGGAGCCCTATGTGGAGATATCACTATATTTTTAGATAAGCTCGGAAAATTGGTATTTTCTATTCATTTGATATCCTAATACAACAGTAAGAGCAAAGGGACACATTGCAAATTTTCCTTTGAAGCTCAGGCAATTCTCAAACTTGACTGCGTGAGAATCATTTGAGAAAATCTTAAAATACAAATTCTAAAGGATAAAACTTGAAATTCTTTGCAAATGGGTCCTAGAAACCCACTGGTTATTCCACTGGTGTTTAGTAGTCATTGGCCTATGTAATAATTTGCCACTGGCTCTGTTGTCAGTGGTAAAATGAAACTATTTATCTGGCAGCACTTAGTTTTCCCATTATCAACAGTTAGCCCAACCATGTATCTGTGTAATTCAAATGTGACTTTATCATTCAGCTTTTTAAGCTGTGCAAAAATATCGTTGTGTCATTCTGTGTTGTCATGAAAACATAATCTGCCCAGTGCAGCCAAGAGAGCTGGGTGGGTGTTCGCGTTTGTTTTTCCAAACTGAAAACTTCCTTGTTTAAAACTTTTGATTGCTTTTAGGCTTAAATTCCAGACTCTTAAAAAAAATTGTTTTTAAATTTTAAAATAAACTTTTTAAAATTTTTTTTTATTTTAAAATAAAAGTTTTTAAAATAAACTCAAGAAACTGCCTTCATTTAAATTCTCCTTGATTTTCACTGTGACTCCTTTAAAGTTTCGCGACAGTCTAATATAAACTGCAGTTGGCACAGCTTGGGTTTGGTTACCCTCTCACTTGATACACTCTTTCCATGCTTGTGATGTCCTGAGCCTCTCCTGCTTTCTTGTCTACCAGTCTTTGCTATTGCTGATCATAATTGCAGAGTAACTTATTCTCTTGTTCTCTAAGTTTTGTTCTCTAAGAGAGGAGTTCAGTGGGACCTGACAGGAATAAAAGAGAAGTTTGTTACTCTTGCAGTGTAGTTACACTTTTGTGGTTTTTAGAGCTCTAATTCACCTATTTAGGGTAAATGACATCCATATTTTCTTGCAGTAGAAAGCTTTTTACTACGTTTTCCCTTGTACAGAGAAGTTTGTAGGTTGGCTTTGTTGTACAAGTTCATATCACATACTTAATAACCTCTTTGTTTTCATCAAACTTGTTTCTTTTTCTGTAGCTTATAAGAAAGGATGGAAAAAATATTAAAATTGCTGGTACAGAGTATATTAATGAGAAAAAATGTGTTTAATTGGTGGGATTTTTCTTTTAAAAAATGAAATGAAAACTTTTTAAATCCTCATGCTTGGCAAATACAAAGTTACTTTGCTGGCTCATAAAGTCCTTAAAGGAATCACTGGCCTTGTGTACTGGTACTGCTGTGAAAAATGTGACCATTTAAGTTGTTTACTCTTGATTAGAGAATGATGATTTGCTGGTCTTAATCACTTATTTAGCAGAATATTTTTGATCTGAAGTTTTATATTTCAGAGAATTTTAATAAATTTTAACTATACTAAAAAGCAATTGTGTTAAAATCAACTAAACCAGTGGCAAAGGATGGCCAATTCTGCTTAGTGACTCACTACATTTTACCTCAGGAAAATTTCAGTTTATCAAGATTTTAGGCTGGGACTGGGGATTTAGCTTAGCGGCATAAGCCACCTGCCTTGCAAGTGTGTGGTCGTGAGTTCGATCCCTGGTACCGATTAAAAAAAAAAAAGAAGACGAAAAAAAAAAAAAAAGATTTCAGGCTGAACTGGAGTTGGAAACAGTGAAATTTAATTTGTAGTTTTCATTGGGCCTACCTTCCCTAGAAGAATTATGATACAGTATTGACAAATGTTCTTTTAAAACATGATTATAGCAGAAGCTTAAAATGTTTTCTATTTATATATATCATAAATTTTTTATAGAAGACAATTTGAAGTTGAAGAGAGTTAAAAATATAGTCGTGACTTTATAGCTGAGATATATAGCTTTGAGGCTGGTCTGAGAGGTTACAAGCTTTTAAAAGATTAGAAATATACCAGGTAGATAGGCTACTGCCATTCATTAGATCTTATGTTTTTTGCAGATAATGTGAATATCATGTTACTCAAATGAATTCTTACATTCCTTTTTTAGGATATGGTGGTGGTTTCAATGAAAGAGAAAATGTTGAGTATATAGAAAGAGAAGAATCTGATGGAGAATATGATGAGGTAAGTCATATAAGTATATAGATTGAATACTAGTAGGAGGATATGTTAGAAAATATCTTTAGTGCAGAGGAGTATTTTTAAATACTTCATTTAAATATTAGAAACAATTTTTTAAAATACTGATTTCAATGCATTTTCAGCTTACAAAATGTTGAAACTATTTTTCTGTAGTTTGGGCGTAAAAAGAAAAAGTACAGAGGGAAGGCAGTTGGTCCTGCGTCTATATTAAAGGAAGTTGATGATAAAGAATCAGAGGGAGAAGAAGAAGATGAGGATGCAGATCTTTCTAAATATAAATTAGATGAGGTAAGCAGTTTCCACGTCCATCTTGCCCTTGTCTTACGTGAGCCACTATGCGATGAGTGCTTTTGAGTCTGTGGACCCTGGGTGAAGATGTGTGCTCGCAGGGAGTAGTTTCCACTGTGGAGTAGTTCGTTTTGAAGCTGTTACACCATCTTGATGGAGCTATCCTTCTCCACAGGAGGCACATTTAAATGAAGAAGGCTATAGAGAGAATGTTATGGAAGACGTGACACTGTTAATAGATATGTAATAAAAAGAGCTACTTTGGTTTTAGTGGATAATTTCTGAAAAGGTGAAATTTGAATTACGACTTAATTGATTATGAAGGAGCCCCCAGGAAGAGCTAGGGTAAAAGCACCTTCAGGCAGAACAACAATTACAATTTCTATAAATGGGAAACAGGTCAGCAATATTTTTTAAAAAAGTCATCCATAGGCCACTGTGGTTAGAACAGAGAGCAGTCCCGCTCTAGTCCAGTAGTGTGTGTTCTGTGGGGTCAGATTGGTGTTTTAATGACCTGGCTCTTACTTTAGGGCATCTGAAATGCAAGTGTTAAGACACAAGCGATTATAGTTAATCTGATTTGTTCTTCGGGGTGATGAGTCTTTGTATATGAGATCCTAGAAAAGCAAAGGGAATTTCCAGAGTTAGGGAGATGAGTCTCAATTAATACATTGGAGAAAAAAGGAGCAAAATTCCTACCTTAGACTAAAGGAGGAGAATTAGGGACTTCTAAGGAGCTAGAATTGAAAATACTCTGACTAACTTGGTAAGGGCTAAGAGATTGTGATAGGGAGAAAATGAATATGACTTGTAGATTAGCATCTGAATAATCTGAGACACTAATCAAATCTGTTCAGCTGACATTACGAATTGATAGATAAATTCCAGAACTGAGAGTGAGTTTTCTTTCAGTTACTGACCGTACATCCAGAGATTCTCCTACCACACGAACCATTCATCTTTCCCAGTAGACAGCATTAATACGTAAATGTTCACATACGTAATTGAATTTTTATTAGGATGAGGATGAAGATGATGCTGACCTCTCAAAATACAATCTTGATGCCAGTGAAGAAGAAGATAGTAATAAAAAGAAATCCAATAGAAGAAGTCGATCAAAGTCTCGATCTTCACGATCTTCATCACGTTCATCCTCTCCCTCAAGTTCAAGGTCTAGGTCCAGGTAAACGGGTACAGGTCAAGGGTAACACCAGTCAAAATGTCAGTATCTAACTTCTTTATTTATAAATATTATCTTTTTTATTTTTTTAACTAAATAGCTTTATTTTTTACTTCAGAATTTTCACTCACATCATCATTTAAAGACTTCATCTTGGTGCCCTGTAGATACTGTCCAGTATTTTCAGAAATGCAAAATCTTAGTATTAAATGTCCTTTATTTTAGTATCATGCCTTTTACTGACATAGGCTTAGAACTACAAGTAAATTACTAGATATAATGATATTTAAGTATCTAAAAGCTTCCATAAAATAAATGAGGGATTTATTTATTAAAGATGGTAAAAGTTAGTACGAAAATTTTCTGGGCATTAAAGGTGACTGCGTGTTACACAACTGTTTAATACTTCAGTTTGACGTCAGTATTCCAAATAAAGGAGCTTGTTCAGCCTTCCGGTTCTGTTGACTTCTCACAATTTTGGGATGTCTAGGAATAAAAAAAGACTTAGTTGGTAATAAAAAAAGACTTAGTTGGTGTTGTATATTGTTTTGTTGGCTCATATGAAGACATATTCTTTGATTTTTATAGGTAAAAAATTTTTAGCTGAAAAGCAGTACCTTAGAAGCCTCATCTTGAAAAATCCTGTTTACAAATAATACTATAGTCATTGGATTTTAATCATGTTTAGGGATAAAGTATTAGATAAGAACTTTTAACATAAAGTATTCATTAATGAATACAACATAAAGCCTAAAAACATAAAATAGTAATTATAAAATAATGTTCAGAAAAAAATGTTAACAGTATCTTTCCTCAGGAGCAAATTCAAGAGATACGTTAAGTAAACTTTATGTATAGCCATGGCGGGAATACTAGTATATCTTAATGCCATTGATAGTAAATAGAAAAGCACAATGATCAGATGTCCATGTGCTAGTGGTTAACATGCAGCACTGGGTAGCACGCCAAGGAGATAGAATGAGTTTTAACAATACAGACAAATTAACAAACCGTACATTCTATCTTCTGGATATGTTAGTCCTGACTTCTAATTATAGTTTAATGATTTTAGTGTTAATTTAATCCGAGTAAAAAGTAATAGTTGACTTTTAAGTGTTTTTTTTATTAAAAAGTTTTGTTAAAATACTTGGAAGATAATGTATATTGTAGTTATTTTTTACATGAAAATGAACTCTAATGCATATTTTTCTTTCAGTGTTCATATCACAAAGCTCAGTTAAGTGGTCCTGGAAAAAAAAATGCTTCCATGTTGTTCCAGGTCCCGTTCAAGAAGTTCTTCCAGTTCGCAGTCAAGATCTCGTTCCAGTTCCAGAGAACATTCGAGATCTCGTGGGTCGAAATCAAGGTGAATGAGGTAGCATCTCTCTGTAAAGCAGAGAGAGAAAATAGGCTGCAGAAGGTGTTGCTGCTTTTTCCCCCCTTATTTTTTGCTTCTACTTGTCAATTTTATTTCAGCATTAGAAAACTAATGCACTTGCCTCAGCTTAATTTTCTCGCCATGAGATGTTTCCATTGCTAGCAATGTGCCAAGACATTCCCATGATTGAATTAAGGTGGCTGTTCCACATGATGTGTCCAAGGTTTGTTTTGGTTATGATGAAGTAAGAAGATGAACCAAGTCTTAATGTCAAATCTCTAGTTATTGACACTATTTTTTTGTAAATTAGTTCTAGCAAAATTAATATATAGTGTAAATGAACATTTTATTGAAAGGAAGAATAAATAACTGCCTCAAAACACGTTTTGTTTTGCAAGGCAAATATTAACAGAAGCAACTTTGTTATTTATACTAGATGAAGTTTATTGGGAGTATTTATGTACATATTTTCAACTCTAAATTTTAACAATATTATAAACAGTATTTATAGAATACACATTGCTCTTAAAACTAAATCAAATGTAGTCAGGCACGGTGGTGCACACCTGTAATCAGCACTCAGGAGGCTGAGGCAGGAGGATTACAAGAGTTTGTGAACAACCTGGGCTGCATAGTGCGGTCAAGGCCAGCTTGAACTATGTAAGGAGATCCTGTCTCACAACAACAACAACAAAAAAAAACCACACCAAGTACAGTATGATTGGTTAGTTTAGGTGGCACACATTCTTAATCATTGCTGTTAACCTATGTTTGCATTTAAACTGTAAAGGGGAAATAATTCGAAGTTAGTATATGCTCTCTAGAAATACTAGTCAAAATGTGCTGCCTTTATTTTTTAAGTTAACTTACTGATTGTATACTAAAGGCATTAATGTAAATACAGAAAGACTCTGATATCCAACTTAATATGGAGATGGAGATTCACACTGAAGTTGAACAATGGCATTTAATTACTAGCTTGTTTGAACCAAAGCTAGGATTTCAGGACAACTATAGTTTAATCATATTATAGAGAAAAGAATGTTGCACACATCTGTGTTAAGTCAGTACAAAATAGAGAGCAAACGTTTTTTCTTACATATTAGTAAGATTTTTTTAATTTTAATGCCGTTTAAATGAAAATTCTTAAATTTTAGTATTCCCTTTGGGAAACACTGTAATTAAAATTTACAGAACAGCCTTCATATTCTTCCCATATATTTTTATTGCTCGTAACTTTCCAAAGAATTCTCCTTTTGGGCTTTCTGGTTTTATGTTAAGCCCAAAGGTGAATTTTTTGGGAAGTTTGAGCTAAATTCCTTCAACCAAAATATGTAAATGAAGAAAAAATTTGCATTTATTTATTGCACATTTACTTTTGCCTGAAACATGTGAATGTCAACATGTCATATTTCATAAATAGTATTACTTGATAGAATATTGTGACTATAAATCAAGTCCTAAAGTTACTCATTTATCTTGAATATTTAGTAGTTTCCTATGGTTAATGTTCATTCTTATTCTTGTACCATATCGCTCATTTTTCTATAACATCTTAATGAGTGCATAATTCTGCAAGGAAATATTACATGTGTTTTCTTTAGGAAGTTTTGTGTAACATACGTTCTGCCCAAATGCAGGGAGATATTTTCTGAATCACAACTACAGTTAATCTGTTGATTTTTATGTATGTACTTTAAATTGAAAAGGTTTATAAGCATAGAAAAAATCCTACATAAGGTGATTTTCAGTTAGAAGCAATGAATACTTAAAGGCTCTTAAAAAGAGATGAAGTTAAAATAATTGTATTAAATAGTATTTTCATGGTTGATCCAGAAGTCTTCTGTTGAGTATAAGCAGTAAGTATTCTTTCTTACTAAAACTTCATAGTTATAAATAATCTTCTTCATTTCTTTTTTTAACAAAATGTTTGATTTGTTTCTCAATCAATGAAGATCCAGCTCTAGGTCCCACAGGGGCTCTTCTTCCCCACGAAAAAGATCTTACTCAAGTTCATCATCTTCTCCTGAGAGGAACAGAAAGAGAAGTCGTTCTAGATCTTCTTCTCCTGGTGATCGAAAAAAAAGACGAACAAGATCACGGTCACCCGAAAGGTTTGGGTTTCTGTAGAAATAAGAATGGGTGTTTTTAAGGTGTAATGTAATGGACTTTGTAGTAAGGGGTTAGGTATCTACCTCTGTTGTTCCAACAGCAAGTTATACTTATCTTTGAAACATCGAAAACAAGATAACTTTGTTTAGCTTTGTACTTGAATCAACTTAGAAATAAGTTGTAGATCAAACTATTCTCTGATCATTTTGTTTAAATTTTTATTTCCATTTATATTACTATAGCCAACTCTCGGTTATTTTTGTCTGCTAGAGATTGCAGTTCAGAAGCTGTATGTTGAAGTAATTTGCAAGTTGATTTTTATATTACGCTATTTTCAGTTAAGTATTCAAAATGGCAGGGATTCTAGGGCATTTAATAAAATGTTAAACTTTCAGATGACTGGCAATCTGTCCTCCTATAAACAAGTATAAGTGGATTTCCACAGCTTATTATTTGCCTTTTATCTATAAGGAAATTAGTCCTCAAAGCTTTTTGCAGTCTAAATCTGTTTTTTATAAAACATACCTTTACTAAATTACTTTGCATTGAAATTTGAGGAGTGTAATTGTTCATTGTCAGCCATTTCTGCAATAGACTACCTATGTATTTATTTATTTATTTTGGTTCTCAATGTGTAATTATTCTGATGGCTTCATAATTTTGCAGATTGTCCATATCTTCTTAACTCGTAAAAAGAAGTATTATAAAGAATGATAATAGCTGGGTTTACCAGTAAGATTATCTCATTCCTACCTGTACAGATTGATTAGTTTTACTTCTTCACATTTTGAAATTATGATTACACATTGTCTTGTTTATGCGTATTTGTTTCTTTGTAAGAAAATTACTTTGAACTTGAGTGAAATTCAGTCTGTTGCTTTCTTACCACTTCTGCAAATTTTTATCTTAGCCACATATAATCCCCTAGTTTGTTGTCATCTAAACTTAATGAACATGTTCTCTATTCCATAAGCCAGGTGATTGGTGAAAACATTAAACAACCCTGAGCCCAGGGCCAACCCCTACGGAACACCACTACTTTACCCAGGTTGATATTGAATTATTCATATTAGCTGCATGAATATAACACTATAACTAATTGTACAGTCATTTTGTGTGACCTAGATTTCCAAAACTTAATTACTTAATATATTTTCTCATACACAATCAGAAGCCTTGCTGTATCTGTTTTACATATAGGCCTATTACACTTTATATAGTATAGTGGAGAAATTGATTTAGTTACACTTCCCTTACCAAGTTTACATGTCTTTGTGGTACATTGTGTAATTTTACGCATTTTTGCAAGGCTTTTCTTTATTACCTTAAATAATTGAGAGGTGGCTATATTTTGAAATGAGAAGATACTTTTAAACTGTAGAGGATTTTGATTACTATTACACCGTTTCTGGGCTTACATCTAAAGTCTTAAGTACCAGATAATTTTGTTTTTGTAAGCTTACATCTTAATTTATTATTCCTTTTACCAGCATCAAGGTGTTTAATTTTTTGTAGTGTTTAGTGTGAATGCTAAAATCCATCTATAGCTTACTAGGTTGCCTGCTTTCTCCATTATGTCTTACAGGCACCACAGGTCATCTTCTGGATCATCCCATTCTGGTTCCCGTTCAAGTTCAAAAAAGAAATAATGTATTAAAATTTACATCCTAAAAAACATCCAGTACAGTGCATGAAACAGTTTTTAAGAAGTTGATGTCTTACTTGGTCAGAAGTGCTAAATCTGCTAGTAGAGGTGCATGCCTTTATTGTTTTTCAAAATAATACAATGTGTTTATTTGTGAAATTAAAAGTAAATTGCATTTTAAGCCATAATACCCCAAATAAAAGCTCTTTTGTTTATTATTTACATCTATTCCCTTAAAACCATTTCAGCTTCAACAAGTACTTTTTGGGGAAAAAAAAAAACCTGCTATGTTCACCTGGAAAAGAAGTTAAACGTCTGTGTTTTTGGCCTATATCAGAATGATTCCTGCCATGAAGAGTTAAACTGAGTGGCCAAGTGAAACTTCATTTTAAATTCCCTATGCTGAAATTGCCTTAGGATAATCATTGTTTCTTTTATACCGGTTTTGCATCACCACATTTAATTCAGAAAAATCTTGTGGATTGCAGAAGGAGCACAGTATTACCATTTCCTTTTCTTATCCATAATTTGGACAAAGAAAGAAGCGTTTAATAGTTTTATCAGTTCTCTGCTAATCTGGTTACTTGTATTTTAAAAATCTTTTATCTTAAGTAAAAGGTTTAGAAAGGTTTGTGCAGTGTCCTTTAAAAGAAAAATCTAGTTAGTAAATACAGTAGGTTAGAAAAAGCTAAATTGTACTTGATGAACAAATCAAAGATTTTGAAGTGTGTTCCTTCTTTTGGTAAAGGGCCAGCACAGACATGTGATTAAACATTTATTCAGAGATGTGTCATTTCAAACATAATGACATGTTTTTCAGAATAGCAATTGAATGCTTGTTTCTGCATGATAAAAACAGGAGTCATTATATTTCATTTTACATGAAAAAACTTATGGCTTAAAATGCTTTGAGTTTTATTTCTCAGTTAAAATCTGGTCTCGAGCTCCATTTTGTTTCCTGGTTTGAAAATAAAAGTTTCTCTTAACAGTATCTTCAGTGACGATGCAAGGTAAGTATATGAAGGGAAATCAGCATTTGTGCTTGGGATCTTTTTGTTACAGAGTACTGATTTCTCTTTTTTTTTTTTTTTTTTAACATTGTCTGCCACAATTTAAATAAAAACAAGGTGTTTAGTAGACAGATCAAACACAAATTATATTTGTTTTTTATTTTAAAATGTTTTCCAAGGATCTAAAGATGAATACAAGATACGTAGAAATATTTTGATAATATTTTTACAGTGAGCTTTCCCATTTTTTTATGTCTTAATTTTCCTTGCTACATTTACTGTAGGTTGCACAAGAACTTTTACTCTTGTAATTGTGCCTCAGACTTCTCGAAAGTCCACCTTCTAAGTTGCCCAGATGATCATCTAGATTCTACATGTTACCATTTATTCTTGTGCTTTCTGTATTTAAAACTTTGACTGTACTAAGCAATTGCAAGGTTATAAATTTAGCTAATAGGAGTTGACAGACAATTTGGATGATTATGATTTCATTTGGTTTAACTAAGCTGTACTAGTTCATTTCAAGAGAAAATGATGCTGTAGAAAAATGTAAATAAAGTCTGTGAGTCAAGCATCAAGTGGTGTTTGTTAGAAATAAACTAGAGATTTTTAAGCTGTGACCTAATGTGGATTTTTAACTTCAGTTTTCTTTGAATTGTTTACCTCTTTGTATTTGCTTTTTATATGTGAGTGCTTGGTTTTAAACGTTCAAAAAAGCTGTGATTACCTCACAACCTTGGGTACTTACAATTACCACTTGTGACTTTGAGAGTTGAATGTTTCCTACTGGCCAGTGCACACCTGTGCCTTATGAATAGAATACCCTAGCTTGCTTCTTGAATTACTCTTAAACTATCACTTTACTGTGGTGTCCAACAACTGTTTAACTGTGAAGCTCTCTTAAGTTTTCCCTTGGAAGCATTTCATCTAACCAGTATTGGATGGTATTAAGTAATGAATGGCCAAGTTAAGAATAAGCTGTATAAACATAAAGACCACTTTTGAAGGATTACAAAAACAAATTAGGGTGACATGTCAGGGAATTAAATACTTGTTTAAGGAACCTAAAGGAAGCTTACCTCATGTTTGACCGATTTCAGTGTTACATACAGTAAAAACAAAATCAAGTCTTTGGGAAAATACATATGAGATTGTTAGCCAACATATGAGATTGTTAGCCAGTTGAGATATTTCTAATCCAATAACTTGGTAAAGAAGCTATAACTTCAGTTAGTAGTACACACCCTAGAAAAGTTTCAAACATTGTAGGCAGATTTCTCAAAACACCTCCACCCAGTTTCTACTGTTTTCATCTTATGTTATATTTTTGAAAACTAAAACGCTAACTTTAGTTTACTAATTCTACTCTAGATTTTATTTTACTGTATCATTTTTCCCATTAATCTGTTCCAAGAGCCAGTGTATTGTACTACATTGCACCAATTGTTACTTTTCCTAATCTCTGCTCTTTATTTTTCATTCTTTTTTTTTTTTTTTTTAAATCGGTACCGGGGATTAAACTCACAAGTGTCTGCTTGCAAGGCAGGCACTTATGCCGCTGAGCTAAATCCCCAGCCCTATTTTTCATTCTTTCCTTGCTTTTGGCGAGTTAGGGAAATACTGTCCTGGTGTCCTGTAGAATTTCCCTACTCCATGTTAGAATTGGCTGTACTTCTCATTGCTGCTCTAGAGCAGTAGGTTTTTTGAGGCTAGGTACCTGTCTAATCTGTGAGTGGCACACAATACACACATGACCTCTACGGGGATGATAACCTTCCATATCTGCGTAAGGTAGAGTTCACCTGAATTACCACTCGAGTTAGTATTTTTTACTTAAATTACTTTGAAGCAAGATTTACTAATTGTACTTCACCACTGTACAATCGGCAGAATTAAGCTCCACTTTTTGTTGGAAGTGGTTATCTGTATCTATTTGGAATTATTCTTAGAACTTTTTCCATTTATGTCCATAGATACTTTTTTCTATTTATTTGTTGCTCGCTATTCCAGTTTTGGCCATTGAGTGTCCTTTCACATTGTACCCTGTGTCCTGTGAGGTACATGTGTTCTCCAGTAGAAACAAAACAAATAATGGGGAATGGGAGGGAAGGTTTATGGAAGAGCTGTCACATAGGGAAAGAAATGACCTGCAGCTATATTGATGATCAGGAAGGTAATTTTAATTTAAATAGGAACCTTGATGGCTATTTAATGGTATCAGGAGGGATGGGACATGAGAGTCAAATTGAGAGTGGTCAGGAAAAACTTGGTGTTCTTTTCCAGCTTCATTGAATTGATTGAGTGCTTAGAGTACAGGGTATGGTAGCATGTCATGAATACACAAATTAAAATGTGTGTATGTGTATGTGTGATTGTGTTTCTAAATGTATAGCCAAATAAAGGTACTAAAATAATACTTACAAAAAGTAGGTAAATTGTTAACTCAGTTTAGTGGAGGAGAGGTCTTTGTACTTCAAAGTATTTGAAAAATTAAAACCATCAGTCTTAATGGCCACGACTTTAGATGAATAAAGTGAGCTTCACTTAAACAGCGAAGACGTCATGTTTTTACTGAACCAGGAAGACTATATGGGGAACCTTGGAGAGAAGAAATTTAGTGATAATCCAGTCAGAATTAAGATGGAACTCATTGAACACCGAAAACAATAATTGCTTGAAGTTGTTGGTGTTGAACCCAGAACAAAGACAGTTTTGTGCCTTCTTGACAAAGAAGTATCTATGGGCTATTGTCCCTGAGGTCACCACAAAGACTGAATACCTCCGATCTGAATATAATAGATAAAGATTGATTTAGTGAATGGGACACAGTGGTCCAGTTGATTTCTTTGTAGTCTGTTTCTCCCACTGAACTGAAAGTACTTACAGTTTAGTTTATAGTGCCTGTGTGGCCCTAGGGGAGATTGCTGCATAAGGTGTCATGCCCATTAAAAGGTGGGAAAGAATACTCTGAAGGAATTTGATGAGATTGTGTAAATGATTATACTAGTGTCTGGTGCATCAGTGTTTAGCAAATATTTGCTATCTTTACTCCTGCCATGTGTTGTGGGTTTGTGTGCAGAAATTCTTACTGATAATATTAACTTCATAGACACCAAATATGTTTACCTGCCTCCTGTATCATTTTTACATGTCAAACCACTGTATTGTCATCTTTCACACTATAACACTGGTAATTTGGAGAACCTTTTGATTTTTCATTTGCCTTCCACTTGATACAGTCTCATTTATCTAGAATTGAAAATACTTCCTTATCTTCAGGCACACTTTACTGTGTTGACCCTACCACTGTGCTTTGTTGGACCATATAGTAATCCTTACTGTCAAAAGGATTTACATTAATGTTTTCGGGCCACAGAGTTAGACTTCGAGTTAGTAACAAAACTAGACAGAGTTTGGAATTACCTTCTTGGGACAAAGAAATAATGAAATTCTGTTTTTTAATGGGAATAAATGATTTGGAGACACCAGTGGGATTTAGCTGGGAGATGTATTAAAGTCTGTAAAGGGGGAAACTGAGTATAAGTCTCCTAAGCTTTCACTTCATGAAAACAAAAGAAAAATAGATAATATGCAAATTTGAAGATGAAAAGTAAAATTAGCTGAGGACTCCAAGATTATCCTACATTTAACCCTAAACATTATTTAATATGTGAGCTGTGAGGCGGCCATTGGTGAACTGAGAAAGGCAGATGCTGTCCCTGTGTCCTCCCATTTGACACCTTTGAATGAATTTACTGTGACAGTTTTCCTGTGGGGCATTGTATTCTCCCTGAGGTGAGGTGGAATGGGTGAGGATGAGAACTCTGATGTTCACAGAGTGCTGAAAAGGAGCCTTACAGATGTGTGCGAGCCTCTGTGTAGAGTCCTTGGGTCTCCAGACAGGAAATGACTGGGAGAAGCGCAAATGTAAGGGTTTCTTCAAAGATTTCACCAAAAAGCCACACAGGCAAGGCAATTAAACGCCTCAAACCTAAGAATAGGACAGTGTTAAAAAGGCGTAGGAGGGGAAAGCTCTGTATGGGGCAGTGATGAGCCCACTTGTCAGAAGCAGTGAAAGCCACAAGGTGATCCAGTATCTTACTGGGAAAAACAACTGTCCTGGTATACAAAATGTAGTTTGAAGATAATAGATGAAATACAAATCTATTTTAAAATTCACTAGGTCTCAACAAAGGTACTAGTTGGCTTAGCAAAGCAGATGGAAATGGAGGTCTCCACAAAGCATGGAAAGTGCAAACCATAAATGTAAAATGCTGTTTAAAAATAATTTCAAGGAAATAATGTATGGTGAGTAAAATGTGCAAAAGGCCAAGAGGATAAAGTTTACCTGCATGGGTTGTTACACAAGACACAGTCAAGTCCAAAACATACTGATAAAGGTACTGTAAGACCAAATCAACCTGAGACTTGCTGGCACATGAGCAGGTTGCAGAGGCACAGGACATCAGCTTGCAAACAGCAAGCATGGAAAACTGAAAACGTGACAGCTGCGTGTAACATGATGGGCAATATTGGCAGTTTGCTCACAGGTAACTGTCAGGTGGAACAAACAGCTGGAAGTAAACAATGGAATCCCATCACTGATACATGACCTACGATTTCCAGTTTTCAATAAATTACTAGGCATTTAAGGAAACAAGGTAGGGAAGAGTACAAAAAATTGAGTACACACGAGTTGGTAAAGACAGTCTGTTGGTACATGTTCTTTACTGTGTTCAGTATATATGCTGCTGATAATACTCAGACTTAAAAACTCAGGCATACTGTTCAGATACCCAACCTGTCTGGTTTTTGTTTTTAGGTACACTTGTGTATATCTTGTTAGAACTTTAATTTAGTACCTTGATACACATGTTGCATCTCCTTGGGACATTTCTTCTGAATAATGGCATACACATACTGTATACGTTTCCTCATAAGCAACCAGTTCATGTAACGACCTAGTCACAGGCACAGAACTCGTTAATGAATGAGGAGCTTATTGTGTCTTAGGAACATTCATTAAAAATTGCATTAGCAAATAGCATTAATGAAAAGACAAGTGTCTTCAAAATACATTATTTCAGTAATTCTGCCATGGGAAAAGCTAGCTACTTGACATTTTAGAAAATGCATGGTTTGCCTGTTTTTATACATCAGGGATATGATTTGGATCACGGTCTTATGAGACCTGCTGCTCACATGATGGAGGCAGAACTGTCCTGTGCCAGAGGCCAGAAGCATGTATCTGTACTCTGGTGGCTCACTTCTTAGAACTATTTGCTTCCAGCAGTTCATCAGGTGGTGGTAAAGCTGATTCATTTGAAGGTAAATTCTCAGATGTAAACTTTAGAAGTGATACTGCCTTTGAAAGTGTGATAATTTAGGACTTATAATACCATGGGTGCACATTTTTTCAAGGGTTACCTCCAAACCACAGGAAATAATTGAGCAATTATCACTGGTAATTGGCACTCTTGAAATTTTTTTTTTGGGGGGGGGGGTTGTCTTACACCCCTGGATAGTCACCTCCTTTGCTCCATGGTATGTCTATCTGCCAAAGTCCTTAATACCAGTTTTCCTGTCACAGATGTTTGGCATTTCCAGTACTCTAACAGAG